GCTTTAATTTTTTCTTGTGGTTTTAGAGCAGGACTGTTTCCAACCCTGCAGTTCACCACAGAGCCAGATGGGGTCGCCAGAGACCCTCCACTGCCACTGAGCTCAGGCTGTGGCCTCAAAAATGAGCAGTAATGGAGGGAATCTGTTGACATTACCGCCTCGCTGAAGATATTTGGCAGGCTGGAAGGATGGTTAGTTAATAGGATAGAGATGGACCGGGCCAGGAGAGGACGTTTTACCGCGTCCAGCACCAACATCATTCATATGCAAACCCACAAAACGGTGACAACAAGTCTGTTGGCATATTTTTGAACCAAAATAGCCAAACTGTACTTTATAACCTCGAGCGAAATGTAGCTCACAGAGGCTGTTTGGAGGTGATATCCTCAGGTAAATATAGGCCATTGTGCACGCAGAATAAAAGCACAAATTCATTCTGGCCGTTATTTGTTAGCTTATAGCCCGTGCTGTAAAACAAACTCAGGGGTATGTGAAATTTATGTTCCTGGGAGCTGCTGAAAGTCCCTCTCATTATTTATTAAAAGATTGGTCCTGCTGGAAAACAGCTGCTAGACTGACTGTATGAAGTTATTCCCCCCTGGACAGCAGTGATGATGAACGCAGAGCCCTTTTCCTGGATAAGAAACCTGTTCTGGACGGCGCTGCTGTATGATGTATGAGCACCAAGCCCGGTTAAGAGGCCACTTAACAGTGTACCCTTGGAAGGAAAAAAAGAACAATACAGTTCATAGGATTTGAAGAAGTGGAGAAACGAGGCTGCAGGAATGTGTTATCGAGAGGAGAGGAACGGATCTGCTTTAATCTGAGTCATCACTGACAGTCTTCTGTAAGTCAGTCGATGATTTGTTGTGTTTCAACGGGCCGGACGGTGCAACACACACCCAGCCCGGCTAAAGGGGATGCATTATGGCCATCCTGCTAACCCCCTCCTCACCCACCCTCAAATTGCCTACTGTTCTTAGTTGTAAAGAAAAATGAATGTCTGAGTAGCACCAGAGAAGGGAGATCAGAGAGCTGGATCCAGCAGCCTAAGCATGGATAATGAGGGGTGGGAGAGTCTTTGTTTTTGGTCCAATTTGTAAATCATATAGAGGATGCTGTCGGACCACCGTGTCTCAAGAAAATGATTAGTGCAGTCTGCTCGGGAAGCCTTCGGTGTTTTTCATATTCTCTCTCCCCAATGGGTCCCTCATAATCCTCTCAGCTTCATAAATAGCACGTTATTGAATTTACACCATTAGTTCATCGCCTTGAACCGGACGAGTAATGGAAACCAACCTAATGGCTGGGGCTTGCTGGGATAATTAACTGAGAAACAGAAACGAGGAGTTTCATTGTGCAATCTGAGGTAATGTTCTCGCTGTCTAAACTGTGTTTCAAAGAGAACATCAGCACTTCCTCTTTGTGAGCTTCGTTACAGGCAGAGCGAGGGACGATTGAGCCGCGCTAATTTTCATCTTCCTTTATTTTTTCATCGACTATCTCCTGTGTCTTTTGATGATGCGAGAGATCTTTTAATGTGCTAATAGGAAAGTCGTGATTTGTTCGGGGGCCGTAAGGAGATACTGTTCAAATCAATGATCGTTTCTTAGTGTGCTAATCAGTGAGGCAACCCCGGGCTGCGCTCATCAGGCTATAGATATAAAAATAAAGAACACAGCACTTCTCAGGCGAAAATGTGGCCCTGAAGTTGCACGTTTTGTTTCTATCAGAACAACAAGGCATGCATTAATCATGAAATTATTTTGGGCTTTTCTCTTTCCCTTCACAGTGCCTGCTGCTGCTGCTGCTCTCGTTTTATTAAACTTATTGAGTCTTCCAGTGAAGAAACGTCAGCTTGTACCGGGCATGGCATTTCTAAGGAAACAGGCTAAACAGACGCTCTGTAATGAGATGCTTTGGTTTTGTTGCTCGTTTTTTTCCTGACATTTTCAGAAACCTGACGATAGCTCCGCTGCGATATCATCAGCAGCGACGGTACAGTCTCAACCTGGCTGCACACGTTGCTCCATAATTAATATCTCTATTAATAAACAGTTACGGGTTCTACGGCACAGCTCAAATACTACAGTAGGTGGTAGGAGCCTTCAGGGGCTCACAGATCAAATCTAATTAGCCGTACCTAATACACGAGGGAAATGTCTTTATATTTATCCAACTCCTTTAACTGCTTTTCGCCTTCAGGTTGCGATGAGGCAAAATGCACCGAGGGCTCAGCGTACAGCACCATGAGCTGCTGCTGCTGCTGCTGCTGCTGCCGGGTGTCATGATGTTTCCAGAACAGGCTCTTTGCAGCTTCTTCCAAGTGAACATGTCTCTCAGGGTTTTCCATAAACGTTCACCGATGAATAGCAAACCAGAGTGCCGGATGCTGAGTCATCCATTTTAATTGTGCTGTCACTCTTTGATAAACCTGCCTGTTTCAGACAATTATGTCATTGGCTTGTGCTGAACACTCCAGTTCTGCGACTCTTTGAGTCTCTGCTTGTTCTGTGGCATCAGCTGCCTCTGAACACTCCCTCCCACCATTTCCTCTTTCTTCGCCCACTTTTCCAGGAAGAATATTAAGACAACCTGCAACTTACAGAACATACAAGTGACATTATGGAGCCACTTTGCTGCTTTCCAGTCCCGTCATCCTCGCTCTCTGAGGAGCAGAGAAGCAAAGGTAGGCTCCTTTAAATGCTGGAAGGCTACAACCTTTGCCTTCAGAAGCTCCATCTGCCTCTTTTTGAGTGAAGGGAATGGATTTGGTCAATTATTCATTAAGTAAGCATGAAGCTTTCTAATGTTCGCTGGCTGCTTTCTTTGCTGTGATTTTTTCCCTTTAATGCCCTGCAGCTCTCAGTTATCTGTTGGAGAAGAGGGATGATGAGGCCGTTTCATGATTTTTTTCTCCCCCTCCTTTTTTGAATTCATTACAGCTTTGTTGTTTCTGTGTGGTGTATGTTGGGGTTTCATCTCGCCAGATAACTGCTGCAACCCTCAAGTAAACTATCGCTCACACTCTGGCCCGGCCCTGTGATTGAATTAGCCTTCGCCACAGCTATCTCCTATGCTGGCAGTCACGGTGAATTTCGCCATGTGAGACAACATGATAAAAGGCAGGATTTGATTTGCATTCATGAAGCACTTAGGAAGTTCAAAGAAAAGTTAGCGAGCAGAATGGAGCAGGCAGGGTCTGGTTCTGATAGCACACTTCCTCCTTACAGTAGGTGGAAACGCCAGCGCTGCTGCACAAGGTCACTCCCCGTCAATTGGCTTTCTGTCACACGATGGTCTGAGGTTATTTTGCTGGACGTATTTTTGAAATGCTTTCCTCTCCTCGGGTCAGAGCCTGTAAAAAACACCAGCGAGCGCGGGACAGCTCATGTGTCCTGGTGACACGGCCCAGAGCTTGTGCCACATAAAAGAATACAACCATCAACCAATATGAGCTGTGTGCTCCAGCTGCAGGCTGTGATTCCGAATTGTCTGGAGGCTCGCTGCCAGTTACCAGAGTTATTGCCTGAAAAGAACAGTTTACTGCACAGAGTGGATTTGGCTAAAATTGCAGTGATGGATTGTGGTTTCAAATTGATAAGAATCTTTCAGCGGGAGCTCTGATGAATCCTCAGACTGAATACAGATTGGGCCTACAGTATGTATGAGCAGAGGAACACTGCATGGCTTTGAGTTACTTATCAAGCACAACATCACACCCCGATGCATATGAATATTGATCCACGTACAGCTCAAGGAAAAAGCCTGACATGACATGAGAGACAAACTCAAAGGAGCGTGCCCTTTAGCCCATTATTTCCTTATCTCTCTGACAATTCAAAGCTCCTTCGGTCCATGTAATATTTAGTCTCCAGACTTGTCACATGCGGAGAGATGAGGGGAATTGGAAGTGGTGAGTCTGTGGGAATTAGCAGCAGCCACCTACAGATTAGGTTAAGAGTGCTCTGGGTGCTTGGCACGCTGGCAGAGTGGGAAGGGAAGGCAGGAGCAATCAGGGTGACAGTGTTAATTTGAACTCTGCTGTTGCATATAACACTGGCTGCAAAGACGTATGGAGCTGCTCAGCCTTAAATCATCGTGTTTACACAGTTTAACAGCCTCGCATCCACCATTTGCATTTATATTGATGCATTTTGCAGGATTTTTTATTTTTTTTTGCAGCTTCTTTAAGCTATAAATGAAACGTGTGACTGTGTGAACGTGTGATGTCACAAATGCAAAGCAGGATAGAAACCTGAAGTTCACACAAGACTCGTGAACTGCAGGTTCAGCTCCTCAGAGACGACATGAGTAATTCCTCCTGCAGCAACTAACGCAGAAGGGCTCTTGAGCAAGGCACCTCTCTCTGACTGCGTGGACACTCTACTGAGTCCGTATTGGTCGGATCCAGATGGGAGAATGAACATTTCGGCGGCTCTCTGGCTGCAGAAGGAACGAGCGGTTTTCCTCCCATCAGCAGCCCTGCGCGCTCAGAGCTGGCTGATGTGTCACACGCTGCGTGCGCACAGGCTCAGTCGCCGTGAAGAGGTCTGAGGCAGAGGCTCTCCTGACCATCGCAGGGTGGGGTTCACCGAGGAGCTCCGTCCCCGTGCGCCGCCACGCCCCCGCGCTTGGCGCTGTCCGGAGCTGTGGTGCTGAACGCTGGCTACGAGCACCACAAACTGCCTGCAGCGCAGTGGACGGGCTGCGCGCCGCCGAGCTGCATGGAGCCCAGAGAGGATCTCCCAGGATGAGAAAGCTCAAAGTTCACAGGGCTCTCCTGGAAGGACCGCGCCGCGGAAAACTATGAAGGAAACGTTGCTCCAGTGTCTCTCCTTCCTGTTTTAATGATTTTTGACCCTCCTCCCCTGAGTCGCTTGGAGGTACATAACTTGCCACCAACATGATCTGGGGGGTTCTGTTATGCTGCCTTGTGACGCCGGCTGCTGGATACCAAGCACAGGAGCGACCAGCTTTCTTTCACGGGCATGTTTTTGAGAACTCACCAGCGGCTTCTAAAGTCAACGGACTGAGCATTCCGGTGAGGCGCATCAACGCGGAAAAATGGTGCCCGGTCTCCGGGATGCACTTCAAACTGTATGGAAATGGCAGCGAAGATTTCCGCGCCTTCGCCCACCACAAACGGGGAAATATATTGCTGAAAACTTCCAGGGTTTTAGACCGAGAGGCTCGCTCAGAATACCTGCTGAGCATCGGTCTGTGCTGCCAGACCTGCGCCCGGGAGTCGGTGCTCTCCGAGGCTGCGTCGGTCAAAGTGGACGTTTTGGATACCAACGATCACGAGCCGACTTTTCGCAGTGCAGACAGCGTCCACATAAGTTTAGATGACACCACCGCTCTTCGCAGCGTAGTTTACAGGCTGGAGGCTGTCGACGCAGACAGCGGGAAGAACGCAGAGTTGACGTACATCTCCAGCCCCAGGAACGGCAGCTTCTATGTGGTCCCGAAAACAGGCGAAGTTTTGCTGGTCGACTCCATCCTGGGGCTCCCGTCTCAGGTCACGTTCTATGTGTACGCCAGAGACCACGGGTGGCCCCCCCTGACCAGCAGGTCTGTGTTGGTGACCATCGCTCCACAGCGCTGGGCGACGCGTCCTGCTGAGCTGGGGGGGTCAGCGCGGGCAGGACGCGCGCCGCGGGCGTTACTTGACCCTGGCACAGTGGTTTCCCTCAACGTGTCTGAAGACGCCGGCATCGGCTCGGTCATAACGAGCCTGACTCCCACCAGGTTCCAGTCAGCCGGCTATGAGCTGCTGTACCCGGAGTCAGACAGCTCCCCGGTGACCGTGGGCCGCGACACTGGAGATATCACCATCGCCCGGAGGCTGGACAGGGAGGCAGAGCCGTTCGTGGAGCTCACTGTTAAGATTCAGGATAAACGAGGTGTGTAGAAAATTCCTCCATTAATCCGCACTTAAGGGCCCAGCCTCCCCCATACCCTCCCCCCTCCCTCCCCCATTCCTCTTACCCAGTAATTATTTGCATTGTGCTGGTCGTGATGCCCTCCTCTAATGGAAGGCTGCACATTACATGTAAAACCACCATCTGGACACCTCACCCTTCACCAGTGGACCCCCACCACCCCCACCCCCCAGCAGGCCTCCATCACATCCAGCCAGTGTAGCTGCAGGCTCATTCCACAGGTGTGCCTCCTTATCCATCCGCATACCTGAAATATATGCCCCACAGTAAGGGCACATGCAGCCCGGAGATACCCCCAGCGCTCTCTGATATTTGTCCAATTTATTCTGAAATGCAAAAAATATTCAGATGATTGTTTGGACAGTCGGAGCTCATTTGTAGCACGGAGCAGGAGATGAGTTTTGAATTTTATGCGACTGGTTGGAGTTACGTCCTTGATTGACGTAGTTTGGGACTGTGAAGTTGTTTTCAGAGCTAATCCTTGCAGAGAGGCAAACCACTGCGACCCTCTCTCTCTCTCATCTACTGGCATTACCCCTCTAATCCTCCTCTCATTCACTCAGGGATTTTGAAGTAGCACTGCCACAGTCAGGAAGCCTCTCGCTCACTTGGAGGGAAAGGTGAAACGTGGCAGATATTCAAGGTTTTGCTTTGTTTGTTGCTTCCTGCAAAAGTTCCACTTCAAGTTTAAAAGCAAGGAAGACAAAAAAACAGGGAATCAAAATGATTTGCTTTGTAATTGAGCCTCACGGTGTGCAGGAAACAGTGTGCACTGTTTTCATTTGAATTGCCTGCTGCTGCTACATTGCACAGCATGCTCTAGATTGTAATTGCATGCCTGATTGGGACACATTCTTGCAAAAGGGTGTCTGGAGGTTTTCAGAGAGAGAGCAAAAATAGTCAGAAATCTGAGGTGTTCCTTTTCTTTTTCCTCCCCTTCTCCTTCATAGATGCGGAACAGAATTCAGCCGCTCTAGTCTGACAGATATTCAGATACCTTCCTCCATTTTACCTCTCTCACCTGCAAAACTCTCCTCTCCTGATCAAAGGCACGGCATGTCCTTTATCCTGCGACTACAGCTTTCCAGACAGAATCCTGACGGGCGTCTGGGAGGACAGGCCTTTCTTCTGCTTGTCTCGCTCCCAATCCTTGCGTACACGTCTCTCTGATAGAATGAGTCCATTTTTTTGCTGTGTTTCTTAATTATTTTTAGAGGTTTCATCTAATCTCCCATGTGATTCCGCATGTGGGCTCGCTTGGATGTTGCAATAAATTTGCACCATGGCTCATTTACAAAGGAGTCAGCTGACGGGCACATCAGAGGGAGGAAGAGTCGATGCTTTGTGTGCGCGCCTCTGTCTTTGTCGGTGTTTGTTTGCATGCAAGTGTGAGGCTGCATGGTCATATGAAACCTGACCCCAGGTACGATAACAGCGGCTTTAATGAGGTCCCGTGTGTTGCATCATCTCGACTTATTTCACTGCGGTGAACTCTCTGTAGCACAGAGCTGTCCGTGTGCTGACAGTCACCTGCTGAATGTCAAACAGAAAGCGCAGTCAGGCAGCAGCCTTTAGAACAGTTCAAACAACATTCCAGTCAGCAGCATCGGCCGCTAACCTTAAAAACATTGACGGACGTATTCACAAACATGGGCTGGACAAAATAATTGGTACACTGGAACACAAACCAGTGCAGCGGCATGAAAAAAACATGGCTTCAGGAACCGATCCCAGAGCTGAGACTGTTTCTCAGAGGCAGCCACGGCGGTGAAGTTCGGCCTGTGCCTTTGCAATGGTACAAGGAGTTCTCTGCAGCGTCACTGCAAAGGTCCCACTTTGTTTCATCTGGTCCTCAACGTGTGCATGCCGTCGCTTTCATTCCAACACGGATCATGAAGACGTCCAGCCTCTGGTCCTGCTGCTTCCACGGTTTTATGGCAGCTTCTGTTAGCGTTCCCGCCATGTTCTGCCTCTGCTGGAGCATTTAGACGTGTGTGATGAGTTTTCTGTTTGGGAGCTCCAGCCTGATGTTTGCTCTCCTGCATTATTCCAGGAACACACAGGTTTCAGCCTATGTGGGGAAAAGGAAAGAACACTTATTAAGCGGTGGAGGCAGATTTACTAAACGTATAGTGAGTGCGTTCATTAACTTGTTAATGTGGGCATGAAATGCTAATCACACTGGTACGAGGCTTTCTTATGTTAATACGCTTTCTGTGGGCACAGTGTTATGACTGCAGCCATCACAAGAGCTGTTATTAGTGCTGTTCCAATGGAGATTAAAAAGTCGGGTTTGACAGTTAGATATCTCCGATAAATTATTCTGGCACGCTGCAGATGAGAGCGCCGAGGAACAGCAGCTCTGGATTACTCTCCGTATGGGGTCCATTTTCACTTTCCTGAGAGAGAGCTCACCAGCGGTCGACTGACGCCTTCTGATTATCAGCAATAAGGGCGACAGATAATCGATATTCACAACTGATGTGCATTTGCTGTGAAAATTAAACTCTTGGTGTCAAAATGTAGAAGAACACAAGCTCCGGTTCAGAACAGAGAGAAATGCCTTTGTTGTGTTTTCAGGTGTTTAATTAAAGGAGAACTTCTCAGCATTCATCTGTGGGTGTTGACAGGCTATTGCTGGTAATAAGTCCGATAATGCTGTGGGCGGGACGCTGCCGGAGAAGACGGAGTGGTGACTACAGATAGAGGGCGTCACGGCCAATGTGCTGCATTTTAAACTAAAACTCTCATATTCAGGAAACTAATGAAAGTCTGTCATGTCCACTTTGCAAAGACGGTTCATTTCACCAGAACTTGTGGTTCTGGCTCGATCTGAAAAGGACCTTTTCAGTGTCTTTAAATGCAGCTGAGAAAGGAGACTCTGTCTGTCTGTACAGCGACGATGTAAAGACAGACAGGTGACATGAATGAACTTCTACCTTCTCGCTGAGGGATGACTTCACATGAATGTACAGAACAGATGCTGCTTTTACCTCCAGACTTTGTGGGACAACTCTGTGGTTCCTGCCCGTTAACGTGTTCGGTTCTGTTATCTGACAACAAAAACAGAAAAGGACATGGATGGACGAGCTTTATGGGAGTTCAGCTGCATCACAACGGACTTCATGTGAGCACAGAGAGAAGCAGATTGATGTAAACGCCGGCTGAGCTCAGGTTTCTAACCCGTCCTGTCTTTGATTTAAACTGCCTCTAAGTTCCCACCAGCTCTGGCAGTCCTGTGGTATTCCAGTTTCCACAGAGCTCTGACTTGTCTGCATACGATCTAAGCTAACAGTCGCGTTAGCCACATTAGCTGCAGACACATCAAGGCTTCTGTTGTCATGGTGACATTAAAATAAAAACGATGGAGTGAGTCTTCAGTTTGTCAGGTGATGGCAGTGCAGGGAGACTGTTGGGTTCACTCTTGCAGCCAACAGCAGAACATTTGGTGAGCTTTGTGAGTAAATCTGGAGGCAGGTGCTCTTTGTGAATGCTTCACCTGGAAGCAGCTGGCAGCGACGGGGAAGGATCACACACAGACAGCGACCGGCATCCTCACTGGTTTGTAAAGCTGGAGGAAGGGCAGAAGTAAACATCTTCATGTGGTGGCAGCTTTTACTTTACACCTCAAATAAAAATAGATTGTGGGACCATATGGGAGCTTCAGGACGATGAGTCAGTGCTGAAACATGGCTGAGTGGAGCAACGGAGGAGTTTCGGTTAAACACCAGCGACTGACTGATTATCGGCCCGCTCGCTCGTCGGATTCAATATTTAACATTTTTCCATCCTATCTGCTGAATATATTGAACTGTGTTTTAATTATAGAACCGTGTTGTAGCTCATCAATATGTTTCAGTACCGGGGCAGAGAACTGGGCCTCAGTTTGGCATCCAGGAAGATATACAGACCTCCACACACCCAATGCTGTTGTTTCTCATTGTTATGAATACGATTAAAATAATTTACCATAACTCTGCTATATGCTGCTGCTGCTATCCACGTCTCATATAATTAGACATCATTGCGATTGATTTCTGCAGTAATTTGCTCCGTTAATGCAATCACGCACCACGTTGTCACATCTGACTTCTTCCATCCTTTAACCAGTTTGGCCCAGTTCATCCCTGTGAGCTAATATCCTGATATTGTACATCGCCATCGCAGCGCTCTGATTCATTACACCACTTAGTTTTTCATTACGCAGCCAAAGTAAGGAATTACTTTCTCTTTGCTAAAGCAAAACAAACATTTTCACATCATTTCTTTTCTTGCAATTATCCTAAAACTTTCTTTAACTTCATGAGCAGAAATTGCGTCGTCTCATCAGACGGTTTGGAGTCGACGTAGATGCATTTAGGGGTCATTACATTACAGAGAGGCTTTAATCAGGACTGACTGAACGCACAGAGACGGGATTTCAAGACCTCCTGACAAACCTCCTCCCACAGCGATGCATCAGATTTAGCACCGTAGTACCACCTTGTTTATTTAAGAAGTTTGTTCTCGCTCCGGGCCCGATGAAAGCACTCCTCCGTTCTCCTTGACAATCCCCCGGCTAATACTGGAGAAATATTCACCTTCTAAACTTCAGTACACCAAAAATCCCTCGAGAAAACACTGATATTTTTGTGACATAGCCGCTGTGTATCAAACCAGCAGCATGAGAGGAAAAAAAGAGAAAAGGTAAAAGCAATGGAAGTAGGCCATGACTCATGACTCACAGAAACGGGTTATATGGTGTTGTTTTGAGGAGAGGCAGTGAGGGATCTCTGCAGCTCTTCCTCTAAAGGATTTTCGCTGGCCCACAGAGGACGTCACTTTGGATTTGTGGTGGGGAATTTTTTGCTTCTGGTTGTCCCACCCGAAGAATCGCTTCCTTTGCGCCCGAGTAGGAAACTGTTAATGGTATCTGACGGGTTGGGAGAAGTATTGAACAAGTGGTGCAGTCCTGTGTGAGC